CAATATTGAACTTAATCTGTAGCTCAGTTGATATTTAGTTATTTCATCAGAAGTGTTGTATCTCCAGTACAATTTACTGGTTCCATTTCAGACTCATCCTTAATATTTTGCTTGTTTTAAAATTAGTTTTCCACTAATCCATTTTTTAGAATAAAGTTCACATTTCTAATTCAGAAGAAAGTTATTAATATTGGCAACTTTCTATACTCTAAGTTTATTTTAAAATCATTTTTATACAATAATGAATATTACAGTAAAAATCTTTGGTAAAAAATATTTACAAAATGGAATTGAAGGCAAATTGCCACACTTGGGGCACATGAGCTTTGTTTCAAGAGCCAGAAGCTGGATAACTGCTATCATAAGTATGTATGGAGATGGGCTATGTAATCTCTAAGATTACTCTAGTTACAAAGAGCTGAAGGCTGGGGGCTGTTAGGAACCCATTAGGCATAGAGGATCAATTCAGTTTATTAAGCAGTTGATGGCACAACTACTTGTCAAAAAGTGTGTAGGATCAAAGAAAGGATGCTATTGAAGGATGCTGTGCATTGTGTCTAGGCTTTGAAGGTTGATCATGCTGAATATGAAGCTTGGCAAAGACCCTACTAGAGACAAAGGAAGGGCTGTTTATCTTCTTAATCCTAGTATTATATAGACTTGATATTTTTACTGTAGTGTAGCTATTTTAAAATATGTAAATTAAATTTTGAGTGCTTTCCATGTATCTTGATTACTAAGTTATAAAGTCATCTTCTGAACAGAATGATACAAGAATTAAATATGACAAGAATAAAAAAGCTGCATAATATCAAAATCTCAATGTAGAATTTCACTGTATGTCTCTTTCTACTGTAGCAACCAGGGCACAAGGGCAGTATGAACATGTGGCCCTTTGTTTGATCAAGGATAATAATCAACTAAGCCAAAAGGAAGGGAAGTAGATTTTCCTATTTCAATCGCTAATATAATCTACATGTTTCCAATTGTGCAACCATTGCTACATGCAGCATTGTTAAATGGGAAGAAAACTGTGCAAATAATAAAGAACCCAGAATATGGAGAAAGAGCTAGTGTCACTAATCTAGTGTCACTAATTATGAAATGAGTATGAAGTCCTGCGTTCCTCCATTTCAGATCCCAGCCTTGCTTTTTTCGTGCTTTCCCTGTTCATGTCTCTGTTGGCAGGCTCAGGTCCTAGTGAGAATTGATTTTGCTGAGCCTTGAAATCTCTACAAATGTCTGGTGACCATGGAAGCAGCATGGTCTTGTCAAGATCTGCTGTCATCATCCCAGTAATGTTGACTATCTGAAGTTTTATCATTAGCAATGCTGCAGCATCTCACTAGAGGCTATAGATACCTATAGTCATTTTAGTTCAAGAATGTTTGAATGGAGAGTGCTCTGAGCAACACAGATTAACAACCTAACCTTTCTCTTTTTAATGAAATACTGTAGGGCCTTATGATGAAAGAAAAGGCAATATTTTTGTCAGAATTATTCTGCCTATGCTCAAATTTGAGGTTTTTTTTTTTTTTTTTAATTAAGAAAATTGTGGAAAAAGCCAGCCTCTAGCATCCATCACCACATGTTAATGTATGTGTATAAATGTATAATTAAAATGTATAATTTAAACAAGTCTGGCACTTCCTTTGATCATGTATTTCCTCATGGCTATGCTAATCTTCTGGAAAAACATCTAAATTATCTTCTTGTTCTCTGTACTTCTGCTTTAACTCACCAGGAATGTTGCTTATCACACTTTCCATTACTACCTTCTCCTCTTCTTATTCTGACATTTTTTTCTCTCCATCCATTGTCTCTTCCTGATAATATACTTAGACATTTAGACATTTTTCTGTTTGTGATATGAACCTACTAATACTTTTATCACAACCTAAATTTGGTGGCTGTCCTTATAATTAAATTTCCAATTTCTCCCCAGCACAGATCTTGCCTTCATATTTGAATGAGATAATCAGGTGAGCCCTGAATCTGGCATCAGATGCAATCCTTAATGCCAAACTTGAATCTTGTATCTAGTGCCAGCGTTATCCCCTAAAATACTTAGGTGATTCCTATGAGCAATGTTTCGTTAAAATGGACTTGAAACTAATTTAAAATCTTCTTCTAGCCCCAGGAATAAACTAAGTTTTTCAATCAATGTTGCCTGTCCCATCTGTCCAAAATCTAGAAAGACTAGATACTAAAACAAAGCCTGACATAACCCAGTCAATTACGTGCAGCTAATGGGCCATGTCCACAATGGTCCTTATCCTGCCCTGATGACTTCCTTCATTCTTGCAAATAACTTGGGTTAACGAGGCTAAAGCAACGTAAAACACAACCCTAAATGTAAGCCTGTCTAAGCATAAGACGTGCCCAGTAGTAACATTAGGAACTACTTTGAGACTCTCATTGTAGGAGTTGCCCTCTTTTTTCCATACTGTCTCCAAGACTTAACATTGATCCTGGTTCACACCACTACTGATCTACTCCTAGCCTTTTATTTGGATTCTTACCTGAAGCGAATGATTATGTAGTGATTTTTACTAATTTTAGGAATGAGTATAGATCCTTAAATGTCTTATATCCATAATTAGTTCAGATTTATCAGTTTATGTTGGCCTAACTACGACTTTAAATTCCCCAGTGCCAGCCTCAGGCATCTAATTGATGATGGGGTCTAGAACTTCAAATTATTCTCACTCTGAAAGTTCCTTCTAAGTGTGACTCCAGTCTTGTCTTCTTCTATCTCTAAACAAAAACTCCAGATCAATTTTTTATCTTCTTCTAAGACTACACCTTGAGGGAATCATAACTAGATCAGATAGTCTGGTAATAAGTTTCACAAAAGCTCAATAGTCCCCACTAAATGCAGAAGCAACCCACTTTTACCAGTTGTGGAAGCACAAGCCTTTTTTTCTTGCTCCCTGGCGGATCAGAGTAAGAACATCGGTTTTCAAAAACTCTCTCATTTATTTGATTTACTAGCTCTAATCCCAATTGATTTGTGTTTCTGCTATTACAGAATCACAGAATCACAGAATCACCCGGGTTGGAAGGGACCTCAAGGATCATGTAGTTCCAACCCCCTGCCTAGCAGGGCCACCAAACGTACACATTCAGATCAGGTTGCCCAGGACCCCGTCCAACCTGGCCTTGAACACTTCCAAGGAGTGTTGGAGTAAATAGTAAATTAATTTTCCTCCTTAGGTCGTTGCCGCTGCTTTTTTTTTCTCTTTCTTTCCCTCTTTGTTCCCTTTACCCTCTCCTCTCCCTTCCCCTTTTTGGGAAACACAGATCTACAGATAACCACGACACAGTGTAACGCACAAGTCCATTGTGGAGCATAAATTACGAACCAGTTATGCCAAGCCAGTGGCTCAGTGCAAGTTCTTTCCAGTTTAGTCCTCTGAAAGTACAAATAATTTCACTGTGCATTCTCTACGTATTTGAAGGTAAATGCAACATTTGAGTCTAGAGCAAAATTTCCATGGTCCTGTCTTCTGTGAACAAGAATTGCACTTCTCTTCCAGCACAAAACATGTAAATTTCCCCACTGCACTGCTAGGCACAGAGTCATGTCACACAAGTCAACATGTTCTTCTCTAATATTGCTTCTTCTCGCTGGATCAAATTTGTATTAGAAACAGTTTTACATTAGAAGTGACAGCAGATTTGACTTGTTCATCCCATCTGTTTCACCTCTGTTAGCACCAGTTCAAATTCAATGATACTGATAAATAGACCAGAAAGATTTCATTTTTCCCTTCTCACAGAAAAACAAAACAAATACACACACACACAAAATCTACTTTTGAGTCATACGCATTTGATGTAGATTGTACTTGATATCTACTATTTTCTGTCTCAGATTTTCTGACACATATATATTATAAACAACATATTGATGCATACATAAAATTGTAACTACATACCAAGAACACCAAGTCGCCACTCACAGAATCATAGAATATTCTTAGATGCAAGGAACCTATAAGGATTATTGAGTCCAACTCCTGGCTCCACTCCTTTCTCAACATTATTTACCATGATGCTGCTAAACAACCAAAAGTAAGAATCTTCCCATGAGTTAGCCCCAAGAACTGAGTGATTTAGTTTCCCACGGATAAAACTTCTTGGATTCATCAAACTACGTATTTGACAGGTCATAAAGTCATAACATGACAATTTCTCATTTGATCTTGCTAGATACAACTGTCACTTTTTTTTTTCTTTGTTATGCAATACTTTGAGAGATTTCTCTTTGAATATTGGGGTGGCTTGATTTTTTTTACTGCTCTTTTCTTCTTCCTGCTGTTGATAATGAACTGTGATTTACAATAGTGAGATACTTCATGCTACTCTGAGTTTTGCAGTCATCATGATAATCTGCACATTTAATGGTAGACTATTCTTTCTTATCTCAGATGGAGTACAGATAAATTAGTTTATGTCCCCCAAGACAAAAAAATAAAAAAAATAAAAAGAACGTGAAATGGTGGACATAAAAAAATGACTGGAAATGATGCATATAAATTATGTACGAGTCACTATGTACCATCAACTGTGCTTTTTATGTAGGACTCGATGGACTAAGACTCTGTTGGCTAGTGGCTGTCTACTTCCTCTTAATTATACATATTTACTCATATAAATTCAATCATCTAGAAGTTTCCAGTTTAAAGTATAAGCTGTGCCATTTGTCTGTGAAGGGAGCCAAGTATTTCAGGAAAGTGGCATCTCTCTTCCCTTTCTACTACCCTTCCCCATCAAGGATTACTTTACACTGACTACAGATGGAATTTGTGTTGACCAGACGAGAATTCTGACTTTTAGAACATTAATATTAGGAGAAAATATATCAAGTTCTAAATAATTATATAAGAATTTTTTTTCAGTAGTTCTTTCACTTGCTGTAAAGCCTTGCTGAACAACTTATCATTGGGAATTTTTGTTGAAATTAAAACATTCCCATATCAGTACAGCATTTCAGTTTCAACATAAGACCTCACTGTGAATAAGGAAGAAATTGAGTGGGAATTTTCATCTTAATTACTGAACTATGATACCTCAAATCTGCATAAAATATTTCGTATCAGGAATTATTCATGACTTATTCCTGTCAACGCTTCTTTTTTATTTCTGGTTGTTTTTTTCTGTTTGTTTTTGTTTCGTTTTGTTTTTCCTGTGGGCAGCATTTAATTACAAAAAACACTAAAGGAAAATAGACATGAAATAGCCTCAAACAATTAGAAAGTCTGGACTTAAATTCAAATCTGAATCTGATGTTGAGTCCACATGATTATAAAATTCTACCTGCTATTTCATGAACACATACTAAGAAGCTTGTTTTATAAGTGTATTCTTTTCTTTATCCTCTTTAATAACATTAATATTCTTCACCTAACTTCCTCAGAAAAATATGTAAATGCATGTTTGTGTACAGAATATCATGGCACTTGTAAAATAGTTTTTTATTAAACCAGCTGATCTGTGGAGTTGCAACATATTTGATCATCTTTACTACCCCTGAGCTGAACATACACAGCTTTCCTGAACTCATGAAATATGATGGACACCTTTTTGTGAATTTCCACCAGTAGAAATCTGGGGCTCAAACTACAAGTAATATTGAAAAATCTCATGACATTTTGTGCCGTAGTTTCACTTGTTTCAGTTATCCACTTGCAGTAACTGGCTACTGACATTGGCAAGCTAATGATATTTGCATGTTTTGTTTGTTTTCAGAGAAAGCAGTTTACTTTAAAGGAAAAAAATCCCACAAGATGTTTTATTTATTTCCTGAGAACTTCCGCTTACACGGGTAGACACTAGACACTTGAAATTAATTTTCCAGAGCACAACAGTAAAAAAGTAAGAATTTGACTTAGTTTCATTTAAAACAGTAAAAACTGACCTTGTAAACATTTCCATAGGAGGTAGGATACAATTTGACAATTGTCAAATAAGAGAAAGTAAACAGTTACTCTGTTGTCCTAATAAATAGTGAGCAACACAGGCATTAAATAAACATTTTAATATAAAAGATATGTGAAAGACTAAAATATCGTTCTTAATAAATTAGGAAGAGATTCAATCATTTATTTACAAGTTAGTCTTGCTGTCAAGGATCACTAACTCTTTATGTTCATCCTGAACTTCTGACTGAAAAGCTGTAATGAGAACAATCCTGAGTGATTCACAAGTAGGAAAAAAATGGTGAATACATCTGATCTGCTGCATGGAGGAGTGCTAAAATCTAAAATGGTTCATTTTTCATCTATATGTAATACTTCCGTAATCCACCAACTACAAGAATTGTCATCATAGCCTTAACGTCTGAAATGGAAAAGCAAGCTTAAGACAGTGAAACGTCTCTCCCACTTCAGGTTCCTCCGGCAGCTGTCCCCATGAAGACTGTGTTAATTGGTGGTAAAGATGATACCATGTCTCTATTTGCTGGCTGATGGGACTCCAGATTTTCTTGAGGAGTGAAGTGACCAGATGTTCCATACATACACTGCGAAGATGTGGTTTGCATGTTTGAAGCTGTGGAAAAAAAACCAGTTAACATAATTGCAAGTTTTCTATCTACTGCATTTAACAAAAACAAACAAACAAACAAGCAAGAAACTCAACAACAACCAACATCAAAAACACAATATAATTTCATCTGATGGAAATCCTGGTCTACCAGGTGCACCATGTGAAGAATTGAAATTTCAACAATTCTATTCTTCACTGAATTTACTTCTACAACTTTTCTTTAGTGGCTCTTCACAGTTTCTGAGAATAGCATGAGGGAACAAGCCAAAACTAATGCATCAGTGAACTCTGCTAAAAATGCATCTATGGGCTTGTGTATGAGCCATCTTTCATGAAAACTGCAAAGCTGTTTGCATTTGCTGTAATCATCTTTTCATACCTTGCAGCATTCATGTCCACAGTCATTGATGGGACCAGTACCATCACCTAGCACACAACACAGCATACAAAAGAAAGTTGGTGGACACAATCCCACTCTGGTGATTCTGGATTCCTCCCCCTGCTCTTTAGCATCCTTAAAAAAAACTGACTATTAAATCCTTGCAAAGCCTTAAAGAGGCAAGTAATGACTGGCCTTCTGCACATGCTTAACAAGTAGTAGGAAGAGGTAACCTTGTGGACAAATGAACAGACTGTGCCTTAATTTACCTCTTCCGTATGATACTTCAGAGTCTTTCAGGAATGCAAAGCCAAACTCAGATATCTTTTGTTTAATGTATGTATCAAAAATTGGAGATTAGGTAATTTCACCTGTAACTCACTGTCAGTAGGAAATTTGTCTAATTCACAGAGTTATTGGAGAACAGGGAGGGAAGAGACTATAATACAGGAAATGTACATTTATACATTACTGAGCCAGGATTCATTTGATCTGCTTGACAGTGAGGATCCTGAAGAGCCCTTAGAGGAGCCCAGTTCATTATTAGGTCACTTAATAGTTAAAAAGTGTTTCCTAACATGTAATTTTCTGCAATTCAGGCCATCCATTCCAATCTTGTGGACAATGAATCACAGTTCTCTTAAAAGGAACAAAGAGTTATTCAACTCACTGTCCTGAAAATTTAAGGAAACGTCACAGGATACATCCCATGCACTTAGCTATTCTATTTGATACTGCATCTTAGATGCTATATATATATATGAGTTACGATTTAACTCTCAGTTTTTGTTAAGGTGCTAAAAAGTTCATTGCTCCTGAGTCTTGGATATACTTACGCATAGCAGTTCGACAGACAATTGAAGGTGAGGACTCTGTGTAGTATGAGCCTGTTTGCTTTCTTCCGCTATCATCCAAGATGTTCAGTGGATCATGTGTATCATTGTATGATGGCAATGGTCGAATGCTACTTACACTGCTGATTACAGAAACATGTTGATCCACCATTGATCCAAGTCTGTGAGATTCTGGATAATTGATATTGTTTCCATAATATCCTATTGATAGGAGATTGGAAAAAAGAAAGTAGAGTGAAATTATTATTGAAGAGAAACAGTAGTGTAGGAGCCTGTGGTGAGTTGGAGCACAAGGTAATCGTTATTGGCTGAGTTTCTTGAGAATAAGGTTATTTCGTACATACATGGCCTAGTCACCTTAATATTGCATGCAGTGATGGACCCAAAAGGGGGACAGATAACTGCAGAGCAAAATAAATCCTAGTTCAGTCATGCTTTCATTACAGAATTGCATCTCTATTGTATCACATTCTAAGTTCAGAATTAAACAGCGCCCTGCAACCAGTGGTCAGAACAGATGCCATGTGGACTCATATCAGTCATGTGGACTTGTGGAAGGGAGTTAAGTCTCCCTTCTGAAACTGACAAACAAGAAAAATACACACAGAAAAAAAATATTTCATGGTAATACATACTTGTCATATACAAACTCACATACAAGCAATATTTCCATTGTGTTTTTTCCTCCAGAAGAGAGTGGTGTTTTTTTCTGACTACATCTTTGAAGCAGACTGTAGCAAAAACTTTACTCTTGAATTCTGGGGAACAGTTTCATAGTAAATGTTTTGAGAGATTTTCAAGAGATTGACACATGGCAAAGTCATCCTAGTTTCTCTTGTTTTGTGCAAGACATGGCAATGGTGATAGAGGAAGACTGGCAGAGGTGTAGCAGAGGCATTTGAGGTCAACTGAGGATTCCCCACAGGAAAATAAATCGTGAAGTAGCTTGTTAAGCTGCTTTACTATCTATGCATGTCATCAGAGAAGTAAAAAACATGAAGATATAATTAAGAGCTGAAATATCTTCCATAGAAAAAAAAGGCAGATAGAAAGCATTTCGCTCCAGCAAGGAAAGAGAAACAAAAGGGAAAAATAAAATATTCTGAGTATGTTTTATACCGTTGGAAGCATTAGGGGGATATGTTGCTCCTGGACAAGTAGGTGCTGAGTTGCTCAAGAAATTGAAGCTTCCTGTATTCAGAAACTGCATATTGTGCGCATCCTGAGTCATGGATGAGGGACAATAGCTGGAAGGTGATCTGGCACTGTATGGAGTTACAGCACAACTGTTGTTGAAGTAGTCCCTGGAGAACTGCTGTTCACTCAAAGCATTGAATCGGCTGTGCTCTGCTCTGTGGTGGTAAACTCCTGAAGTGGAATGGGCCTGAGTTCTGAACATAGCCTGGTAACCGGAATTGTTTCCATAGTAGTTCTGATTGGTTTGTGACAAAGTCTGATAAAGGGGTTCTGAGTAGGAAGAGCACTGTGAATGTGTGGATAAGACAGGGCCTACACTCGGAGGTCTCACAGCCATTGGCCCCTGGTTGATCACACTTCCTCGGCTGACCAGGGCTGGTGAAATGGGTGGAGTCATCAGGTTACCAGTGCTTTGAGGCAGCTCCATCTGACCTGCAATAAATAAGCATTAGCCGTCACTAGTGTTCATACCGCAGTTCTTATGAATGCAGTGGATTTGTTAAGACACTAACCCTCTGGTGAAGTGCATGTTACCATCTGAAACTTTTACAAAGTGTATGGTTTGGCTCCTGCCTACGCAATGTAGGTTCTTTAATCCACGGCTTTGACTTAGAAAGCTTCTGAATTCCATTTTCCAGATTGGAGACTGGCACATTCAGTGTAAAATCCCAGCATTTAAAAGTCTTTTCGTGCCTCACAAAAATCTCATCAAGCCACGACGTGTGATATTTTTATCACTGTATCACGAGGATGTATTACTGGCAGGTCTCTAAAATTGCCCCCTTCCATGAATCGGCACAGATGGTGAGCTTGCGGGATGTTACTACTAGAGGTTCCCATAAATACATATGGTCATTTTTCCTTTTACAGTAATGTGCTATTGTGAACTGAAAGACTAACAAGCAAACAAGGGAAGGAAGGACTAAGAGAACTGCTACATACCTGTCAGCTGCATATTCTCACCATCTCCTGTGGCAAAGAGATTTAGACCTGAAGGCATACTGCTAGGCTGACTAGCTGACAAGGACACGTAGGTTTGCTCTGCTAGACACTCATTTTTGACTGAAGAGTCACTGGGCAGAGAAGCAGTTTTGTTACGATTTGCTAAGAAGCAAGAGCTTGGTGATGCAGTAAAGGTGGCTTTGCTTGCATCTGGAATAATAAGTGGAAAACTCTTGGTGGCTGTTATGTGTGATCATTGCACATAAATTCAACACTAATATTGCAAATGAGATGTCTGATTTGTTCATAAACTCGTTTGCTTATTTTAAAACACAGTGAAGCCTCCATTTCTTGTACGCAGATGAAAATAAATATTACTCCAGCCTTGATCTTCCCAGATCAGAATGCATATTTTCTAAATCACATCCCCTCACTACAGATCTATGTAATACATGTCAATTGTATTAACAGCTCCTGACTGAAATCATCATAGTGTGAATATAAATCAGATTTATTCTCTTGAAGTAAATGTCAGCAATGCACTCAAGTAAATTGCACTGAAGCTCATGATACTACATCTTAAAGATTTAACAATGAGAGTTTTAGAATGCTTGAAGTGTATCTATTTTCATACGACATCTAGAAGAAAAGCATTTTTTATCATCAGTATTTTTCAGTTTTTTGCATGCTATTGATAAATTCAGTGGAAATTTTGTTATTTTTCTGGAAATCATGGCTTTATGCTACAGTTTAAAGGACTTCACCAAAATGTCTCAGGAAAAGGCAACTGCTACATAGGGCAAGGCTTTTCCTGAAGGATGAAGAGAAAAGGCGCAGCCATCTGCTGTGACACAAATTCTATATAAGCTTGTTGCAGCACAGTGCAGATTAAACAGAGTAACAATAACCAAAGACTTCAGTACTGATCACAGATGCTAATGTTAATCAACATAACTTCAGCAGAATCCAATGGAATTTCACTAAACATTTTGGGGGAGTAACTTGGACCACAATTTAATCCATGTCTTAGGGATCAAATGTCATTTCTTAATATTCTTTCATTTCATACCAAAAGACCTTGAGGATGTGTCCTCCAACTGCCTAACTTTGAATCTCAGTAGCTACAAAATATTAAGGATATTTTAAGCTCTTCTGTTTCTCTTCCACAGCAGTATTTCGGTCAGTTGCTAAATATGCCTCCAACCTTGTGTTCCAAACTTCAAGGGACATTCATAATTTGTTAACATTGAATACATTCCTAGTTTAATGTATAATTATGTATTTCAGATTTGGCTGAAAAATTGGGTTGGGAATTTCTGCTCTTTGCTAGACGTACTTCTTTTCACATCAGTTTGTGTCCCTTCAGCTGCAACTACAGGAGTGTTAGTTGCACCCATGATGCACCCATGATGCACCATGAGACAATTTCCATGATCTTGTGTAGTAATATTTCCCCCCCAAAATTTATTCAACAATATCAACTGTGGTTGATGGTGGAAATGAAATGGTGAATTAATGGTCACAACCATTTCAGGTGGTTTTAACAATGTGACCTAAAACTACAAATTCATAAAGAAAGAGCATAAGTCTACTTTTGTTTAAACAAATATGCAATTTTCTAAAAATGCAGGAATACATTCAAAAGAGCCAAGCTCTAGATACCTAAATTCTTCATGTATTTGTCCAGTAGATTCTGGAGTTCTTGTTCTTTGTCATTGTTGAACTGCGTCTCCATGGCAAGCAGGATGTACTCATCTAGCAGCATGCGGATCAAATGAAAAGAACCTTTAAGGAGGAGAAAGAGGGAGAGTAGCCAAGTTATCTTTGTGACCATCTCTCAACACTCTACAAGAAGCTGGTGAAACAAACAAATAATTGTGGACTTTAAATGACCTGGCAAGACCAACACTGGATAGTGCCTAACTTCTAGCTCTAATCTCTCTTTGCACTGGCCCACCTAGCTCAATTGTTTACTGTCCTGTAGGCTATTTGACCACTAATTACATCAAAGAAAAATACTGATGAAAGTGAGACATGCTTTATACTTGAAGAGGGCATACAGTGGAGCTAGATAAGACTGAAGTCTGCTAGAATGCCTCTGCTCTATTTCTGTTTGCTTTGTGCTAAGTAACCAGACAATAACTGGTGAAGTCTTCAACCTTATTTCAAGGATGTATCACATTAAAAATGTGTCTGTCCTTATAGTCATTTAAAATAGCTGCTGAATTTTAGATAATGAAGTACCTACAACTATAGAAATAGCCTGAGAAATGATACATTGTATTTAAAGTTAATTTCATTTGCTCTAGCATTTTCTATATTATAAAATACTATTTCTGAGAGTCCTCAAAAATATAAACATTTCTAAAGACAGACAAGTGAAACTCAATTTTTAAAAACCACAAAATACTGATGAATGCACGCTCATTTCAGAACTGAAAAACAAAGCTGACCTGTCAAATTCTTTTTGCTCTTACAAAAACAAACAAATAAACAAACAACAACAAAAAAGCATATCCGCAATAACAGCAGTCTTTTTTTGGTCCATATATAAAATAAATAATTAGAATTTTCTGTCTCCTATTGAGATATGTAGTTATGCTCCAGCGTCAGATTAAAGCAGTTTTTAGTTTGCAAATGGCAAGGCAATATCAAACAGCAGTTTTAATAAAAACTATCTTGAAAAATGAACATGAGACATAGATCACCAATAAATTATTATTATCATTTACTGTGAAATGTTAGTTTGAAAAGCACATTACAAAGTATTTGTGGCTTTGATCAAAAAATCTTTGGGCTAGGACAGGCTCCTCTGCTGAGAAAGTAGCATAAGGTAGCTAAATGTTGGCACATATGTACAAAATGTGTTTTTACAAAGTCCAGGTACCAAAACTTGAGGCGTTGTTCAGAGTGAGGTTATGCATCACTCGAGCACCAAAAAAGCTCCATTTGAGAAGAAAGTCTTGAGCTCTCTTCTTTAATGACCTCCCATTTTGCTTGCTTGTCTGAAAGACAGAAGTAGCAGAATACTGTAGTTATACTAACTTGCTTTCTACACACAGGAAAGGAGAAAGGAGAATTGAATATGCAGGCTCATGTGGCGGAGGGAACCAAGCTGCCTGATTTAAACTGCCTTCATAAAGTCTGTTCTAAAGTGACAAACAGCAGCATTCACTCTTTTCAGTGCAACCAGAGTGGAGATCTGACCACATTCAATGAAGTAAACTGCCTACTGCTTGGAGTCTGCTGCAGCCTAAAGGAATATAAAAAAAACCCTCATGTTCTAATACTGAAGATGGGAAATAGTTCTGTATGTGTATAGTTGTAAAAGACAAGAAGAAAAACATATCCTCTGGTGCCATGTTATTCCATACAAAAGCTAATGGAATTTAGTCTCTTTACTTCAGTGTAATCTTTATAATACCAGCTAGACTTTCTCTTATAAAATGATATGCCTATTGTAACAGTGGGGCTTATAATGCTGCTCACTTCATGCTCTGATTTGTTCATGTGGTAAAAATATGCACTACTGCTTTCTCAAATAGCAAGTAAAATGGAAGTGTTGTGCGAGTTTGAGAGTAATCATACTTTAGCATTAACAGAAGGCAATAGTGGAAGGATTACATGCTCTGTAAGTGCTCAGCTCCTACTCAGTGGATTTAGAATGATATCACGACTTGCTGGTATTTCCTACTCCTAATTACAGGAGAACAATGCTAGGAAACATACCTTGTAAATTTAATAAAATAGTATTACATAGAAGACAATGAACAGGAGGGTGCTTCATTGTTTTTACCTGGCTTGTTAACTGAGAATTATGTTTTGAAGTTGGAGAGTCAATTTTAGACTGCAATCAATCAGTTCTAAAATAAATTGTGATTGCTCAGCCTCAGTAAGAGTTTTGTGCCTATACAAATGCTTCTGAGAGTTTGGTTAGGCTCTACTGCCCTGACTCACCCAAAGCACCTCACTGTGCTGCTCAGAGCTTATAGTAAATGTTTGTAAATTCACAGAAAATATTAATGTACCCAGTGAAATTTGGGAAAACAAGTAAAGAAAGGGAAAGTAACAAGTCAACTTCTGTGAATTGGCAGAGGCACTCTTCTGCAAGTCAAAGCTAACTGCACTCCTCCTGCACCCATTCATGTCAAGGTGGTCCCTAAAGTGGTAAATAAACTATCATAGCATTACCAGACAGGATAGGACCTGATGAAAAGACAGTCTTCAGAGCTATTAGCAAGCATTATCACATGCTACATTTCTTTCTGATGGTTTACATTAATTCACAAATTGGGTTAATACATCTTCCTTGAGCTACAGCTGAAAACTCAATTACTTTGTTCTGAACTGTAGTAGAATCATAGGATTGCTCAGGTTGGAAAAAACCTTAAAGATCATCATGTTCAACTGCAACATGACCATATTATCCTAACTCTAACAACCCTCCACTAAATCACGTCCCTGAGAAAGTATGATCATTTGTAACTATACATGTATAAAACATTTGTGATTATGAAGTATCTCATAAAACTGGTTAAAAAAAATTCCATTAAAAGTCTCAATTACCAAGTTAAGCACCTCGTGAAGCTATAACATGGCATCTTCAATTCTGGTCTGTAGAAAGCCTTCCACAAGTTATCTACTTCTGAATCCACCTATTGCACTTAACCTATATTACATGCAGTAACATCTCAGTAATATGAAAGAAAAATCTGCAACTCTAAAGAACAACTTTGGCTCACCTTACTTAGTTTTTCACAGATGTAAAAATATTCAACAGCATTCAACATGACTAACTAGAACTAATTAAGTAGTCTTGAGTCAGGTGGAATATCTAAAAGGTACCTTGATAACCCTTTGCTCAACCACAGTATCCAGCCATTCAATAAATGATTCCACAGTGGCATTCTTCTTTAGAAGGTCCTTCAGTTCTTGGAATACTGTAATAGAGTCATCTACCATGTGAAAAAGGAGAATATATCATTCCATGTTCTTCTGAACATGAGAAAAAGCCACTCATCAGCTGTATGACAAAATTGTAGCATCGAAAGGAAAGGCAAAGAATTAGAGTGGTGAGGAAATGAACTGCTCCTCAGTGAAGTAAGCAGACACACATCTATTATGCATATGTATTTTACTTATTTTAGCATTACAATGATAACATATAGTTTTACAAGGAAATAAAAGCAAAAAAGTAAAAAATAAAAAATTGGATGTTTTAGATTCATTTTAATGCTCATCCTTGAAAACCTACCTATTACTAAGTTTAGTAGAACAGCTTTATCTGTAATGTGACAGACTTCTATAATGTCTTTGGTTTCCTTTACATTTTACAAGTTAACTTCTTTATTTCCCATTCTTGAGAAAGTGCCTGAATAGGATTATGATTCATTATGTAAGAGAACAAACTTTTCTGATCAAAATAACAATACATAGAAGATAACACCTTGCTATTATTCTTTCAGTTCTCCAAACTAGTCACCATACTTCTCATGGCAAGAGTTATCTTTTAAACAATATCTCAATATCAATATCTTTTTCAGAAATAAGTGTATATAAAATTAACTGCAAAAAAATTATCATCCTCTGCACTTGTACTTCATTCAATTTTTCTTTATTAAAATAGCTGTTACACTTCATAGAAAGTTACGTTTTTGGTTTTTTTTACAGATCAGCTTTTGGTCAAAAATAAAAACAAAACCAAAGAATGTAATCTAGCTTGAATATTCATGAAATTAAACTATAAATACATGTGATTCTGGGGACAATTTTCAAGAATCCATGCTAATACTCCCACATGATAAAACTTCAAAAGGGATTTTATTACAATTAGCAACTGACATGGAAATTATTTTTTCAACAACCATTTAAAATCATCTATCTAGGATGATTTCCCAGCGCAAGCTTATATTTTTGTAGGACATGCTAGGGCAACAAATTGGTTTTCTTGATCTAAAGTTAATGATGAGCTAGATCAGAGAATGCAGTGTCTTTGTGTCTCTTCTCTGACAATCTCTATGTAGTATGACATGGAATGAAGAGTGAATTTATTTTAACATTACAAATATATCACCATGGACTTACATTCATTGTAGACCTCTCCATCAGGATCTGTACTCCCTGAGACTGCAAGGAGTGCCTGAGAGCCAATACTATTCAAATCAACTTTTTCAATGTCTGACACCATGGAATTCACCACATGCTGATCAAAAAGTGCTGGCCGAGCAATCTGTAAGAGAAATCAAGACAAAATTCTGAGAAGCTTCTCCTCAGAAAAGAATCAGTAGCTGCTTTTTCTTAGCTGTGTTTACTGGAGGTCAGATGAAATAATATTCTCTTTCCATTAGACTTCTAATATTTGTGTTATGTACCTTCCATCCTTGATAATTTTCACATCACCCACATGCTACTTATAAGATTTATACAACAGAAGTCTAAATCAAGAAGAATATATGGTGCATCTACAGTTATACCTGAGGGTTAGTCCCTCAAAAGATTGCTCCGTTAGCATCTAAGCTCTAAAAAGGTACTGTATCCTTCAACAGTCTACTAAATCTTCATATGGAGATGCCTCCTAATTGCAAATATCTGCATCCTACCAACTCAGCCTTGGAACCTTCAGCTGTCTATCACATATTCCTTGCAGTTAAAATTTAGAAGGGATAAACTCAATAAAGAACGCTGTGGACAAGACAGTGAACCTTTGCAAGGCAAGAAGGTACTAAAGAAAATTCTCATACGTTCCACTTTATCATATGATTGCCAAATATTCCCACGATAATAGTTCACCATAACCATGGCCTTTTCTCTCTTTTCTACTACAAAATTTTGAAGATCTATCTATGGCCTCTTCGTTCTCATTCACCGAAAACTACAAGGCATAAGTCTTCCATGGCTGAAGCTGAACATTTAAAATACAAAAAATTAACATCTGCTAGCCAGAAAGATAAACAGAATATAATTGTCAATCTTTTATGTACAAATCTTATTCTGTTTACCTGTGCTAGGTGTAAGAACGATGTCTGTCTTTTCAGGGAGGAAACAAATCTTCGAGCAATAGGCAGTTTCTTATCCATCAGGATTTCTGGTAGATTTTCCAAAGAGGAAACAACCCACTGTTCCCAGTTTTTTGCAAAATTTCTTATATCTGCCAGTAAACTACAGTAAAAAATGTATTTTAGAGAAATACCAATAAAAGATTTATTGCATTTGTTTAAAAATAATTCACAGAATCCTGGACAGATCTGTGAATTACTCTTCAGGTATCCCTGAAAAGAAACAGGAAATGACTGATCATCAGAAGGCCAAAACTGACCATGTATTGATCTCATCCCCTCTGAGAAAAAAACGTAAGCTATCTGCCAGTTGAAAGGGATTGAAAACAATTAGCCTTAAGAATAAACCATAACAAATCCAAGAACCATTACAGGTGTCTGAAACTCAGGATCTTATACAGACATAAAACCCCAAATATGACAGCTTCCAAGGGAAAGGAAAAGTGAGAAGATTCAGAGGTAACTTATAATAATCCTCTTCTAACTGTCTTGTTGAAAAAAAAAATGCTTAGATACCATGAAGATGTGTACGATACAAACCTGAAAAGTATTCTGAAAAAAAAGAGATAACAATTATTTTTCCTCATACAACAATAGCATATTTATTTCTTTTCTGGTCTTCCAAGGCTTTAGTCTAGAAGAAATTTATTTCAAGATATTCAACAAGCCAGAAAACAGAACATAAAAATACTTTCTAATATTTTAAGGCTCTTCTATAGCTGTTCCCACAGCTGATATTATTTCGCCATACTTACTTTACTTTTCTAAAAATGAGCTTACATATTGTGAGAAAAAGTCTCTAGATTACAGAATTTCTGCTATTTGTTCTCCATTTTATTGGAATATGACTATCAATTAGAATGTATCATTATTATACCTACCTTTCTGGCATTTCTTGCATTGTTGCAGGGATAAGTACATCTGTAAGAACCTTCAAAAAGGTAACATAAAATGATATCAAACTTCCACTGGACACTTCATTCTATTCATTCTTGTCTACTTAGATTGTAAAATGATAAGGACAGGGAATTTATACAGAGTAAAGCCATCCAACCTACAGTCCAGATTTCTTACTGTATTCATCTTTCTCCCATCACTATTAGATAGGTGTATATGAGATGTTTATACAGCTAGATATTTCCCACTCCTAATGTATGCTTTCTTGCAGCATGTTCTGCTTACAGTAGATCTGCCTTACAGTAGAGCAGTCAGTAGAAGTGAGGTGCCTAACCATTTTGACTTTTCAGACATCACTGTTAGTCCCAATATAAAGCAGGTACTCAAGAGTCTCTCAAGTCCTCAAACACTATTAGCTGCCTGACTCTTCCTACTGTCATACTGCATGTGGCATTGAAGTTCTTCAGAGTTTGACAGATCACTTACAGCTAACTGTGGTATTATGGAACTGTTTTGGCAAAAAAAAAAAACTCTGCCAGCTGACATGTCTTCTTATTGCAGAAGGCAAAGTTGTTAGATCACCTATATTGTCAAAATATTTTTCCATTAAAAATTCAAATGGTTTGATAACAACTCCTTGGATGTGCTAACAAGAATGTCTGAAATAATAATAAGAAAGTGAAGGTGAAAAACAGAGAAAAGGGACAATGATAAATTCATGAACTTTGCATAGCTCTTCTTTATCAAATTTCTAATTCAGAGCTCCTCTAGCATTTAAGTGTCCATTAGATTGAATATTTATTATCAACAAAGTTAATATTGGATCTACTGGGCTGTAAGATTTAAAGCAGAAAAAGCCTTACAAACACAGTGTACAATATATCCTCTACAAACAAATTAGGCATAATGACTCATTTCTGGGGTAGTAATTACCATCTTCTCTGTTAATTACTTTCTCACTTTATAGCTTGATATGTTTCTAAGAAATACATATTTTCTTCCCTTGGAAACTTCCCCTCATTGTGCATTAAAGAATGACAGATACATAATAATAAGGCACTCAGTGCTGAACAGCCTCAAGTTTCTTCCTTTGACTGCTTGGTGTTCACTGTTACGCCATTAATTATTTCATCCATACAGTTGCAAAAATGTGTTAAAGAGAGGATGAAAATTATTTCCTAATTAAACAATATACTATTTAATAGGAACTTAAGATACTTCACACTTATTAGTTAATTATTTAATTGTACAAACTAAAAACACAAGAGCTTTGTTAATTTATTTTTACTACGATCTAGTCTTACTTAATTGTGCCCTTGCAATTCTCCTTAGTTTCACTAGCACAACTATATGTAGGATCATGCTAGGAAAAAGATCTAAGAGCTCATATTGCACAAAAATTCTACAAAAGAATGTTTCTTACTATTTTTTAAAAACCTGAACCAGCTCAGAGTGCAGCCAATTAAACAGTTTTGCTGATACATCTAACAGTATGGGAACAGAAAGGAGTGCTAAAAGGCAAGAAAAGTGGGCACATCTTAATTCAGTATTATTCCTGCTCTGTACCATGAAACGTAGCCTCTGAGTAGTGGATCCACAAGTGGAATCACCTTGTTGATAGGTTGAAGACTGTCCTTGCTAGTAGAAACTGCAATAGTATTTTATGTAAAAACATGACTTCAGCTTTCATTCAGGTTTAACTTATTCAGCCTTGTCAGTGAAGCGCACAAGCCTTCTTTTAGCTCAATTCTCAAAGCAGTTAAGGATTTCACAATTAGAGAGCTGCTTATAGTCATGGCGTTCTTCTCCTTGCTGATTCACATAAACAGATGCAGAAAGCAGGCAATGACATCCTGCTGTTGTAACACTCACACTGTTTTTACACAGATAGAAGCTATAACGTGGCTGAGATTATCCATGCAACTAAATGCCTAACCTACCTTATACAGAATCGAGTCACAAACGCAGAAGATGTCAACAATGATGGGATTCTCAAGCAGGGGAAGAAGATGGTCAGGCATTCCTTGCCAAAAATGTAATAAGAAATGCTGAATCTAAAGGAGTAAGAACCAGAATTATGGACATAAATAATGTTTTCTTAGCTCCCTATGTATATATACCAAGAATGTGAATTCAAACAATCTTACCTCTTCAAAGTTCCCATTAATTGCATTGTCAAGGACACACTGACAGTGTGTTTTGTACATCATTATAAGAGTATCTACCTATTTTGGAAGAAAGAATAATTAAACAGAGTTTCTTAGCTCTCTCCTGTATTGCAATTAATATCTAGGTTTCTGCTTTCTGTAGCTAGAATTTAAACATGAAATATAAAGTGTATTACAGTGCATATTCACAAGTAGGTTCTTCAGAAGCAATGACATCACAAATCTTTATTTTTTATCAACACCTTCAAGTTTCAACGTTGCTGCTAGAAGTGTAGTATTTGAATCCTTACGCAATGCGAAAATGTGAATATCAAAGTAAGGCAATAGCTAGATTAGTCAGTCAGATGGTAAATTCACCTTTCTGAAAGCTAAGATTAATCCTAAAGAGTAGTGCAAGTTAATCATTAGGCTGCTATAGGCGTCTATGAGTGTTCTGAAACATCATCTAGTTGGACAAATGAGAAAATAGCTGCCAGTCATTTGGTCAAAGTTTAATCACTGCCTTACAGGAACTGAACTTTAAAAAGCAAAACTCCCTTTCATCTCATCACATTGATTTATCACAGTGGAGTGTTCCCTTATTTTAAGAACTCCACAAAGTTAATACAAGAGTTTGTAAAAAATTACAGTAAATTTAAAAATTTGTAATAAATTATAAAACAAGAATCTTGTAAAGTATTTTCAGGAAAGAAATATGGACATTAGCAAAACCAATCTTACTGCACAGAAGCATGGAAAGTTTTACTACAGCTTTTGAAGATCTCCAGCAAACCAAAGTCGGGTTTTAAATGAACTTCGAACAGCTTTTATTCCAATAGGTTGAGAACACAGATTTCTTTGGAAATTGACCTTGCTGACTTTCAGAGCTGCTTCTGTAACTACATATATTTTAAAAAGTGGAGCAAAATACGAGATTCAAGAACAGTATGATAACTTATTGAAGGTTTTGGTGGAAATGTGAAGTTTAGATAATATTTCTTCAGAAACATATAATGAAAAAAATTATCAATCTATTTTAATACTGATTGCTACAGTTGTCCAGCAATTTCCATTGCATACAGTCTCTTAAAAGTTTAATGAAGGAGTCAAACTTCACATATGTACTCTCTTCAACAGAGAATCTAAGGATCATTTAGACATTTTCTCTGCTTCAAAGCTTGGGAAAGTCACTTCTCTTTTGTCCTCTGTTGGAGATGTAAAAATTGTTGTATCAATTCTGGATGCATCTTACTTTAGGAGACTGAGTGATGGGATAGTAAGTGGAGGGATAACAGTGTGGACTGCTAGAGAGAGCTCAATAATCCTTGGTCAGATAAGCTAAAAGAGGGGAAAAAAACAGGGAGGGAAGAAAATGGAAAATTAAAAGCAATGAACAAACAAAACAAAAAAAGCGAAAGAAAAACAAAACAAAACAAAAAACCTACAACCAAGAACAAGGAATAAAAAAGAGTAACAGGGAAAGAGAGGGCGACACATAAATACATCTCTGTTCCCACAGCCTCTTCATAACTCCAGGAAGCTGTTTGCAGAAGGGATTCCCCCCTAAAGCCTTCTTGGACCCTCCTGTCATCTGGTCCCAATACCAGAGCAGCTACAATGGTGCCAATCCAAGAATGAAGAGAAAATGATTTTCATCTTATAGTTCATTGCTGGAGTGGTAAAATCCAGTTTTGTTTGTGCTGCTGTACTTGGGCCGCAAGGAATCTCAAATGTTCCCCAGATGTAAATGTTACAAGAATGCTGTTTGAGTGATTTCAATTCATGAATGGAGTTTATAGCAGTGGATGAGGTACACTGCTGAGTACCCCAGTTTGTTGACTTTCTTTAGAATCTGTAAGCTTTCCATCCATCTTATGTACTACAGATGACTCTTTCTGTTTAGCTCTTCAAAACAGGAACCCTGGTTTTCACTGCCTACATGGAGCAAATTTAAGAGGAAGGGCTCGTTGAACAAAAAGTATTAAAGCAACATATCTCAAGACAACCACCATTATGACCTATTCTGGAGCTTAAAATTCAAGTTCACAATTTGCACCAAAAAGGTATCTATCTCACTTCAGGGACATAGCAGTCTGTAATGTGAACAGAAATACAATACAGACATCACAGAAGAAAGCAGCCAAAGATATAAAGCATACTATAGCAATACTTTGAACTGACCCTTTGGTTAAGCAAGACTGTATACTTACTTCTGGAATACAATTTTACTAACTTCTAAAAAAAACCTGTGTACTCTGATTTTCACAGTCTCCTTTCAAATAATTAATGAATGATCGTAAAGTTCATCTAATTATTTGCTGTGAATTATTTGTTCTGATCTAATCAGAACAAAATTTACCTTAAATCCAAAGGCATTTGGAATGAATACAACTCTGTTTGTTTGTTTTGCTCTCCCCGTCTTACATACCATCAGTTTGTAAAATACTAGGTCAGTTAATAGGTAAATAATTCAACCATCTTTCCAGAGGAGAGCCAGTTAATCGGTGTTAGTAAAGGTTTGCCCCCTCTATAAATCAGTCACCTCTGTTTGATTATGGACATTTCTGGCTCTTTCATGTCAATACCTCAAAGGCTAAGATATCAAGAAACATTGTGGCAATTTTTGATCTGTAAATTAGAAGAGAAGTATCTCATATTTTACCTTGTCTTTGGAAATGCATCCTTGAAGTAAAAGATGTTGGGCACTTGGAAACTCTGGGAGGAGAGTTCCAGTTTTGGAACTCAGAGAATATTTCCGAGTAAAACCACCCTGAAATGTGAGGGAAACACAGTAACATTGAAATATCTAATTCAACTTCAAAGAAACCAACAATTCATGCTAAACATATATATTATCTGAAGAGTCCCTCAGCATTCTAGAATTTCTATATTCAGATTAGTCTTCAAAATAATGATGCTTATCCAGACCTGTATTTCAGATCAGAAAGGTAATGAAAGATATGCCTAAATCTAAACTATACCAATTGCAGTTATCAGAACAATGCAACCTTTGGACCACATTATTTCATGGAATTCTGTAAGATTTGAATTTAGTCTATGTTTAAAAACTCTGTAGAATATCATCACTTACTCTCTTCTACAGGATGGATTGTGATATCCTCAGGGTAACACTAAGTTTTACTTAAGATGCATCTTTCCTGTGCAAGGAGCTTGGGTACTGTTGGTGCTATGGCTCTCCCCTGTTCTCTTGCTGCTCTGATAGCACTACGAGAGTGGATTCTGCTGCTTTAAATGCAATACCTGACATTTTATGTTATCATAACTTTTGATAATATTTAATAGCATTATGGGTATGATGGTATGTAGGGACACTTCCGAACAATATATTTATTACATAGCTCCAAGTAATTATGCCAGAATTGACATGAAACCCTAGAAAACATCTTGCAGTCCTGTTTCCTACTGCACTGAAACATGTGCACACATAAACTCATGTAGGAAAAAAAAAAAAGACAGATTGAGATGTGTATCCTTCTGCATCATGGCACTGATTTTATCTGGCTTCCTCCTAATCTGTTGAAGTGACTGAGAGTTTGGCTGCTCACTTCAGAGAGTCTACATCTGGTTCAGTAAACATTTTCAGAGCATTTTGTTTCTGTCTATAAGAACAAAACAAAATTATGCTGGGAAGCACAAGCATAGATTTACACAGTAGAAAAAAATCCTGTAAAGCAGTTCAGTCCTGAAACTCAAACTCAGGAGTCAAAGAATAAGGCTGGAAAGAGGAAATGCAGTTTCAAAGGAACTTATAGAGGAAATGAATATATGATTTTTCTAGGGCTACCTCTTTAACAACGTGTTCATTAGCATTATGATCTCAGTTTTGTGTCTTAGTAAGATGATTTCCTTACTGTGGTTTTGTGTTCTCCTGTTTCTTTGTTGATGCATTGTCAGCACTGACCTAGAGTCAAGATAAATTTGTCTTGAATTACACTAAATTCTACTGATTTGAGAGTTCCTTGCAGTTCTTAGAATTCTCTAAGTCTCTTCAGCTTTTGAATTCTGAAATATTACAGACACATCTCATAATAGTTGCTGACCGAGAAAAGATCTGGAATGATTATTAGATGTGAGCCTTTGGAGAGATGGGATTTGGATGGACAACAGCCGCCTTGTCTGTGTCAGTTCTCAAACTGACCATGAAGCAATATAAAGTAAATCTATCCTCAATTAAATTCCTAACCTTGTACGCTCACAGTCTGGTTTAGTCTGTTTCTCCACAGAGTGAAACAGTCACATCCTGCAGCGATATAATGTTACTATGCCTATATTTATAACATGAAACACAACATGCTTATTAAGCTCTAAAATGATATAAGATGAAACCCTCATCCACAAGAGAAGCAATAGAATCTGTGTTATAGAGCTGTCCTTACTGGATCTTGCTTATCCTCAGAGGACTTCACTCACATCTAGGAAAGATTATTTGTCTGAAACTCATTGTTACATTTTAGTCTACCCAGTCCTTATGTTAAAGCCTGGCAAAGGCTTTGAGCAGACTTTCTGCATACTCCTGTGGTAAATCCATTACTTCCGAGCAGATTCTTTTTGCACTAATGAACAGAATTTTTGGCCATGCCCTCAGTGTTTGAATAGCACTTTAAGCGGCCTTTTCCTACCCCTTTGCATACAGTCAAATTTCACTATAGCATGAAGGAGAGCAAAAAAATATTCCCTAAAAATTTTGACTCACCAACTGGAGGTCAGATTCAAGTGGAATTATCAGAAACACTGACAAAAATATAGCGGTAGCTAATTTATTCACCATGTATATTATCCCCCATTTCTATAGGGTGATATCCCTACCAAAACAGCCAGGTATATAAGTTACATAATGTAAATAAACTCTGCTTATGCTACCTACTACCCAACTACATACAAGCTCTAAATCAAAGAAGTTATAGAAATTTTGAAGCATTAATATTTCTTCATGTCAGTACTTTGCCTGTAAGTATCAGGAACTGCTTGTGTTTTTTTGTCTGTTTGTTTAGCTGTTGTGTTCTTTTTTAACAACAGGAGCAATCTCGATTACTTTAAGATGCAGTTACTCAGGAAATATACTAAAAATTCTGATTAGAAGGGATTAGTTCATGTAAAAGAAGGCAGTGGTGTTGGTGGGTGACTTAAATAATTTGCAATGTTCTGTACCTTGCTAATGGGCTTATATGACTGTGTCTCAGTTCTAGGATTTATATTTTAACCCACTGCCACTTGCCCTTTCAATTTAATGCCATCTGTTTCTAATGGCCATTTAACATTAAGATAATGACAGTAATATTATCTGCTTAATTAACCATACAGACTCTAATGGTGCACTAACTGGTTTAGATAAAAGAATTTGCTGATATCTCCCCCTGCAGAGAGAATACTAGAAAATGTGATAAAACATGCCAGAAGTAAACAGTGTCTCTGGCACTAAGTAAGTGTTCATTCAAATGCCATTTACTCAGCATATTTAGACAATCAGAGCTTTAACATCTTTTCAGTGTCTTTATGTTTCTACTGAGACACCTTATGCAACCATTGTAACTGTTTCTGAATACCTAATTGCATATGCTTTCAAGCTTATGAATAAGGACACATCGCTATTCACTTTAATAGAAAGTATGTTGCCAACTTTTCAATAACCTGAGATTATTAAAATTCAGTTTTGTCTACAAAAGCATGTTTTTCTCTTACAAGCCATCTCAGTAATTTCAGGCAACAGAGCTACAAAATAGAGATCTCATGCTCTTTTCTCACTGATTTCCACTGACTTATTTGTAATTACTTTTCTGAGAGGACCAAGGTATTAAAGACTGGGACAGAAAGAGCTGAAACGGGATAGGTTGATGGAAACATGAGCTCCACATCTGAGATGGAACTAAAGCATGTATTCATTTATTCCAAGGGAATCAGAAATTTTTAATTCACAAACTCTGAAAAAATGAATGCTATAGTACTGCTGATGAATCCTTGAATATGTTGATATCCCATGGCATAGCACTGTCTTCTTTTGATAAAATAGCTGATTATCTGAACAGGGAAAAATGCTGCAAATCTATAGGAAACTTACTAAAATAATTGATATGGTGTTACCATGGGAAATGATCAGATATGCTTGTGAGAGAAGGGATTGGATGAAGAATGTAAAATGTTTAAGAAAGTGGCTCCAGCTAAACAAGTGTTTACAGTGAAACTTCTGAGCAGAAAAGGAAATGAAGTGAAAATTCTCAAAGATCAGATTTGGGACTGATGTCACAGGGTATTTCATAGATTAAACTGTCTGACATGAGCTAATGAAATCATCAGTAAAGAGGGAGACCAAGAGGTCATGTAGAAATATCTGGATGGCTTTCAGATAAGGGCAATAAAGGGGCTGAAAATCAATAGAATAAAGCTACACTCTCAGGGACCAATAAGAATTTCTGCTATCAGCAAGGAATTGCTTATCTGAAAATGAAAAAAGGAGAAAGACCAGTTTTCTATCAGTTCATCACAGAAACTATATTTAGTCTGGTAAATTAAATGGCATCAAGAAATGACCCCAGACAATATTGAAACTACATCATTCAGAATGGTTCCTGGCATTTTTTTCAGTTCATGCCAGATACAACTCTTCTAAACAATTCTCAGCCATGCTTCAACTGTTACTTCATGCTAAAGGCAATGAGAAATGACTGTGCTGTTTTTAGAATTAGGAGTTCAGTAGTATGGATGCAGGCTGTGCCATGACAGTTGAACTCAGCATCAAAGAACAATCCTGAGAGCACTCCTTAACCATTAAGATAGTAGTGCAATGTTCTTTAATCTTCTAGAACAAATATGGCCAGAATGACAACGACTGTATCAGATGGCACAGTAGTAAAGCTGTAGGTGATCTGTGAAACTGACACATCCCAAACATACATGGTTCTAGGATTCATCAGAAGAGATATTTCCAACAAAAATTGGAGACATGACTTTTGCAAGACTTTGTTTAAACAAAAAAATCTATAGAGATCATAACATTGGAAGAAGTACAGCAAAAGGCTGTAATGTTGACCATAAGTGATTAAAGACTGTTTCTTTGTTACATCTAGTAAGAAAAAGTAGCAAAAAGATGTATTATAATAAACGTCATAAAGAGTCAAAAAGAGAAAAAGACTATGCTGGTGAAGAGGTATAAAATTCCATTTATCAAAACCCATAATTTCCAATCAGATCAATGAGATTCTGAGAAAGCCTTCCTACAAAAGTAATGGACACAAAAATCTTAGAAGCTAGACCTTGAGCCTCTGTTTAGGAAAGTCTGTTACAAACCTCTGCAGCTGCATTAGGTTGGAACACGAATTTGAAATTTCACTTTCAGTCTTACTTTCCAGTATGTATTTAGAGGAGCAAATACTCAGTGACATGAAAAAGGGTTCTGCAGTCTAACCTTTAATTCAAAATACTGCTGAAATTTTGAAAGAAGTGAATAAAGAAAACCACAGGTTACAAATACTATTTTGATTATGATAGGAGTGAAAGGAAACCAACTAAAGCACTTACCTCATTCTTCAACTTGCTTCCAGAGAACCTTTGAAAATAAATGTATTTTATTATTTTTTCATAAGTAAAACATTTTTAATATACATACAGGTATATTCTATCATTCTGTCATATACACATACTTACATACCTGTATCTACATGTAAAATAGGTCGACTAGAAAAATGACTTATGTTTCTCCAAATATAATACTAAAACCCATGCTTTTTTCTAAACTTGTTCCATTGGCTTGCAAGTGTTTTACGATAGCAAGGAAACTTACTGAAAGTAGCTTTTAAACATGAAGATTCAGACCACGGACCAAAAAGTGATGTATAAAACTCAATTTCAGTTTATTTCTTTGGATCTCTGCAACTTTACAAACATCGGAAGAGCAACGTAATGCAAGTCCATGAGGTTGAGGAAACTCAAATTTTTTTATGCAGCTGAGTAAATTCAGAATAGAAACAAAATGTATCTAGAATTTACACTTTCTAGGAAAATTAAGAAAACGTATGATCTCTCACTCTCTTTTACCACAGTACTATTCTGATACAAGCAAAATGCATTTCTGAGATGAAGTATTTTGTAACTATCAAAAATACTTTGCAGTAGGGTGACTGTGCTTTTAATAGTCCATTCCAGAGATTCCTGATGAATTCAATGGACTAAGAGGCAGACATTAGAAAACACACCTTTTAAATTACAGCTACTTCACTAAAGAATGTGTAAGGATAGAGACTCTAAAGGATCAGTATAATGATAAATGTGCAAGATAGCACTGCTTGTTTGATCATTGTTACTTCCTCTTCTGCCAGCTGATAAGATACTGTGGGCAACAAAGTCTTATAATTATTAGCAGCAATGCAGTCATTCCATGTTGTTGAGATGCTATGCTGGCAGGACTCAAAACCAGAGACTGAAAGATTATGAATTCCACCTGCTCAGGCAAGGCACAGTTCCCATCACGTGATGATTCATTACGTTACCCACAGAATTCCCTGGTTTGCTAATAGAAGAGCATGAATGAAGGCATAACTCACAGCTGACTACAATGAGTTGCTGATTAGCTTCATAGCTAAATGTTTTTGCTATGGACTGCAGATTTCTACAGAGGTAGTATAATGTACACAGAATGTACAGCAGAAACACTAAGCAGCATCTGCTAAAATTGTTCCTCCAGAACCTTAATCACAACCTAAAACTATGCTTCTTAAAATGCTATGTATATCAACAACTTTAGCATCAGTTACTCTCCTTTTGTGGTACAAAGTGTGATATTTAAATGAACTAGGAGGTCAAATTTACTGTGGAATTAAAGGATTTAAGCATCAACAATCCTACATTTAAAGACCACAGTAGTCAGCTCAGTTACAAAGATATTAACACTCAAATGTCAATTAAATCTGAAATGGAATTGCAGGCCTATATTTAGGCAACTAAACCAAGGCCCCTTCTAATCATTTCACAAGCTGCCATTTACTTAGCATGTGTTGTGGTAAAGAACTACACGTACTTTTACTTGTGTTGGCTTAGTGTGAACTGATACCATCATCAAATCATATATTTCCAGTGCCTATTTCTGCTCTGAGATTGATCCAGGAAAAAATTTTTATTGCTCACTTCTAGAACAGTGATTGGGCAAAGGGCAGAGGTTAAAGATGGATCATTATATTTAGCAAGCAGTAACTGGGATATTTACACACTATTCTGAATCCCCACGTTGCCTGAGTTTTCTTCCCTGTAAGTCTGCTATTAACACCAGACTACTGCGTCACTGCCCTCACACAGCCATATCCAAACACAGTGATAGCCCTGACTATGCAAAGTCAGCATTCAAGCTTCAGTTCTAAATCAGCTAGTGACTGCTGAATCCTGAAAATTCAATGATTCCAACATGAGAGCACAAGTCCAAACACAAATAAAAAGTTCCTAACTAGTGAATGCTAAGCAACCGATAAGCTGAGAGTCCAGTCCCTCTTCTTGTATTTCTTATTCAAGACAGGGATATCTAGAGTTACCTTTGGAAACAAACCACCTTAATTTTAGGAATTTCAAGACATGATTCTTTTGGAGTATTTGGCATAATTCTGATATGTGGAGCACAGGATTTTCAAAAATGCACAGCTATCTCACTGATATGAAAAAATGGTCTTCAGAAGTGTGAAGTACTTGCAAAAATCTACATACATGATTATGTGAGCAAAGACAGTTGAAAATCCAGCCCTGAGGAATTTTGCAGAATCTCCAATTTGTTCGCATTTATGATTATTAGATTGTGTGAGGATAGAGTTTTCAGTGAAAAGGGCATTGGCTGACACTGAGTTGAGGTTTAAGAATAACGATATTCCTTTACATGAAAAGAACTGATTTTTGTCAATTCAACAAACAATTTGTCCAAGATAATGCTAAATTGTGAAAAAAATAATCTAGCTGTGCACCAGCAGCACCTCCACAGCTTTGGACAAACGATGGGTATGGAAATAGCATATTCCATTCTATTATACCTTGAGGCCTTCAGTAGAGAGAATCCTCCTTTTCAGCATTACTGGTGACATTACCCCCAATTTTTACACTTGTTATGTTGTTTGGAAAAGGCTCTTTGGGTATAACCTGAATCTGATAGCAGCTGAATTTTCTGTGTGTGATTGCAAGCTCATTTACTCTTTTCCTTTCTCCTAGTTCCCACTTACATGGGCGTACTGCTGTAGACAATGAAAGCCGTCATTCAAGCCATATGTGAACACAGACATTTGTTTTACGAACTATTAATCTCTGGCAAACCAACAGGCAGCTATCGTAACGTATTGATCCTGCTAGCTGTCCCTTAAATAAATATAATTAGAGCTTCCTGGGTTAGGTTTAAACTGATATTAGCCAGTTAAAGGACCTGTAAATATTAATCTACACTAACCCCTCCTCCCTCCTACCCACAGGTGCCAGCTTCACACCGTTCTCCAGACGTTTCATAATGGGAAGCTGTCCTGGGGAAAGAAATCACAGGATGATGCACAAGCAAACAAAATGAGACAAGTATTCCGGAAAATGTGTTTTGCTCTCTTACACTAAAAAATCCTCTTATGGTATATGTTAATACAGCTCTGTGCTTACTATGATGAGGCCATACTGGTAGATACGAGTGAAAGATCCAGATCAAGCTGTTAAAGCAAAAATCAATGTATCTAAGGAGCAAATTGCTACCTAAATCTTTGAATGCCAGATATTGACAGTTGCAGCAATATTAGTTCTGGTATCAACAGCAATTAGTGTCCTATAAATACCTTCCTTAGGGAAGTTTTAAATAGCACCTCCACTGACCATCTTTCTAAAGCAGGTGCAGAGGCTTTACATCTCAGATATATGCTACTGTACCTGGTTAAGCCTTTGCCAGAGTACACAGAGTGGTAGTATGCACTGCTTTCTTTAATGCCAATTCCATAATAGTGATACCTGTGGGGGGGGGAAAAATAAAGAGAGAGTATTTTTATTTCTGTATGACATGTCAAATAAAACAAACTGTCAAATTGATCTTCAATGCTATATGAAAACTTTCCTTAACAGTTTCTACTAATTTCTTTCAGTGCCATAGAAAAAAAAAATCTGGTCTCATAGAAAATAGAATTGTCACTGTCCAAAATTCAAGGCTAACATCTTCTCTAAATTTAAAACATTTTCTCTTTTACAATCATGTTACTTGGAAGAATATATCTACCAGAAACCTGTTATATCTCTTTCTCTTAATATGCATTGTCTTTCATTTTAATTCCAGGTTGTGCAAAGGTGCTGGCTTGATCCATCAGGTGTAATAATCTATCAGGTATACTACTGTTTTATCTAGAGGATTTCTCCAGTAAAAGTAACTCCCTACTGCTTTTTTCCCCCATAAATTAGTGTTCATCCTTCTGCGATGAGCAATGCTAATACATTATTCATTCATTCATCTCATGGGTTGTAGGCTGACTGACTCCGCTTTAGCTGTTTAAGCAGTTATCATCTCCATTCATCTCCCTCATTGCTCTCCTGGAAATTATTGCCCTCAAAGCAGAACTGGAAGAAGGAAACATTTATTGTATATCCCCTGCTGCTCTGAGCACAACACCTTAACATTAAGAGCTGGTGCTAAGAAATCTCATTATGCATAAGATACTGCTTTCCACTGATTTTGCTGTGGAAGAAGTGACCTTCCTGAGCAGAGTGGGAGAGCAAGATTTGGTCATGGAAAAATTCCATCAGGGGTGATAGGCAACACATTGCACTGATTTCACTAAAACACTTCAAAAACTTCTCAAAAACTTCATTCTTAAGATACAAACATAGAATGGCTTAAGTTGGAAGGGACCTTACAGATCACCTAGTTACAAGCCCGTGCCAATGGGCAGTACTGCCACTCACCAGATCAGGCTGCCCAGGGCTCCATCCAACCCAGCCTAGAACACCTCCAGGGACAGGGCACTCACAGCTTCTCAGGGCAGCCTGCGCCAGTGCCTCACCACCTTTTGAGTAAAGACTTTCTTCCTAACATCTAACTTAAATCTCCCCTCTTTTAGCTTAAAGCCATTTCCCTTTGCCCTATCACTATCATACTGTGTAAAAATTCTGTCTCCCTCCTGCCTGTAAGCTCCCTTTAAACACTAGAAGGCTGTGATGAGGTCTCCCTGATGCCTTCGCTGTTCCAAGCTAAACAAGCCCAGTTCCTTCAACCTATTTTCATAGGAGAGGTGCTCCAAACACCTGATCATCTTTGTGGCCCTCCTCTGGATCCACTCCAACAGCTTCTCATTCTTCCTGTACTGGGGTCCCCGGCTTGGACACAGTACCAGCAAGTAGTTCATAGAACATATGAAGGTTTTCAGCTCACTTCTGCTATTCCTGATGATGCTCATTTAAAAAAAAAAATTACAATTCTACAGTTTGTTTTTACATTGGGTAGCTGCAGATAAGAACAAAAAACTATATATGAAAAAGACATTAGATACAAAATATACTAAGAAAATATTTGTTGATGATAAGTTTGCTCAGCCTAGGTGGCTCTGAAAGTCTTGGCTGACATAGTCATTTCTGTTTCCATTGGGTGCATCCAGGATTTCATAGCCAGAAAACTAGCAAAAAGTGGCTGCTGTTAAATATCATGGCTTATATTGTTTGTCTGAAATTGATGAATCTATGTAATACTGGCAGATCACAGTGGCGAGACCCTTAGAAGGCCAAATGTCTCTCATGTCTCTCATCTATTAATTTACGTTTCTGATTTTCTTTTCCTGAAAAAATATTTCTCTTGGGATAGTGATGTGATGAATACAGCATTATAAAATATCTGTTAATTCTCAGAAGATCAGACACAGGTACATCTGCTTATTACAGTCCCCTTTTTACTGAATAAAATCAAAGCTGAGTGACAAAATCAGAGCAACATTTCAAGGTGGTTTAGGATGTCTTACACTAAATGTGACCTTTCATTAAATGTCAAAATGCTGTACAGTTGTCCTCTATTTCAGATACATTCATGCGTCATCTGTATTGTGAAAATTAAAGTCCTGAAGCTTTTCAGTCATTACTCTTGGTCAAGGGGTATTAAACAGATGGATTTGGGCCAAACGCCTATATCATAAAATTCCTAATATTTGAAAGGGTTCTGACAAAAATGCTAAAGGCGTGGACTTTTTTTTCTCTTTCATAAAAATGAAGTTATTTTCGATGAGACTTAGGTAGTTTTGAAAACGTATATGTATGGATCCTGTGAAAGAAAGAACACTGTTTACTTAATCTTGACATCACAAAGTCTGTGCATTGCACAGGATGAAAAACTAAACAGAGCTCTGATTACTTCTTTAGAAATGTTACAGGCACAGTAATATACTTGGCATTCACCATATGAGCAAGCATTTATCTGCATTCTGACATCCCAAACCTCTCAGTTTCAATTACACACCAGTTGGAACTCCCTATTGGTATACCAGAAGCCAAAGAAAACCAAATATTTTTCACACATTAGGAATTAAGGTCTATATTATTCAATATCTAATTTAGTAATAACAGATTTTTGGGCTAGAAAAAGCCACTGTTGTGTGATTGGCATTCTCAGATTTGTAATGGCTGGAGAAATATTTGTTCCTGTTCTGGAATGCCCCAAGATACCAGAATTTACATTTGTGACATCTTATTACATGAAGAATGGAAGCTTTCAGCACCTATTCAGCATGTCCTTAGAGCAGAGCAACTATCCTTCTAATTTCCTTGAATGTTTACTAATGAAATAATGCAGCTTTCTAATCATGGCACAGAAGCTATATTAAAAAAAAAAAATTATCTGTGCTTTTCAAGTTGTGCCTGGCATGCTTCATAGAATAAGAAGATATAAAGATTTTTATTCTCTTACATCCCAAAGTGATTAGTTGAGTATCTTTTTTTTTTGCTCTTTTTTACTTTTTACTTTTTTACAACTATCACTGTTGATAGTAATATACTTACTTCAGACATGCTCATAACATCTTTACCCTACAACTTCAAGTGCCCTCTTTCTGTCTCCTTATACGTGTTCTACTTTTCTATTTCTATCATATAATTCATAAAATGAAATCAGCTGGCATAAGAAACTTACTCTTTATTTTTGTAACAGATCTATTGAAAAACAAACTGAACTGCTTTTCTCTTAACTTCAGTGGCTTATTGTAGCATATGTTCCTATGCAACTAGTAGCCCTGATTTTAGCATACACTGACACAAATGATAGCTGATAAGGAAATGATAGGCTTAAGCTGTTCAGGGACTCGCAATTACTTGTTATCATGGGGCCAGCTGCCATATCAGTTTTATTAACCCACTAAATCACTCCTAATAAATAAGATAATAGTTTTCAGACATGATGGATAAAAGCTAAGATTCAACATTGGTCAAAGTCTACATAGAAATTAAATTGTAACTTGAGCTCAGCAGCCTCCCGTGTGCATTTTCCTGAATAGCTGCTCCACATAACTCATGTACAGTGAAGATCACAACTAAATTCTACCAATGGCCATGGTATATTCAACACTGCCTGTGCAAAAAGGAGGCTTCGGAACCTGGTCTACAGACAACCATTGCTTAAGAAATGGTAATCTCAGAGAAGAGTCTGCAACATTTGTTTATTTATGGTGCTGTGCCCTCCTTCAGTCAGTTGGGATATAGAAATTTCCCCTGCTATTCAGCAACCTGGAGTGATCAGCATGGGCATCAGAGATAAAGTGAACACTGCTGACAAAACTATGTCCAATATGCTGTACTTTTTTGGTCAAATGTTTAAAAGAGTATTTTAGTATTTACATTTGTACATGCAGTACAAATATACCATTAGAGTGAGGCACACTCTGACTGAGGACCCAAGTTATTGAATTTATTAGAACCACTTCTAAGGCCCCTCCTGGAACCTCAGACAAAAAAATGTTGCTCAGAGCCTGAAGAGAAACCAACATTTGTCTGTATATCTCACACCTTAGAGCAGCACCCATGCCTCACATCTTAGAACAGCATTTTTTTCTAAAATCCAGTTCATGTCCATGAGTATGGTGTAGGAGAAAATTTCTGTCACCTTGAAGTTCCTGAAATAGATAATTTATTTTCTTTGCTTTCTTCTGGTCACGGACAGGCTCTATCAATGTGTTGCTGGGTGTGCATGCAGTATGTGCAGGGCTTTTTATTCTTAGGGAGTTTGCTTTGCTTTGTAATATAATAATGATTCTACTGGAGAGCATTTTCATGCTTTTGGACAACAATTGCTTCCTGGGCAATATCACAGCACAAAACATCATTGTCAAAAATAGCTAGTGCTATTACTGCTTCTCTAATATTATATCTAAATAATAACAGCAGCAACAAAATTAAAACAAAAAACAAAAAAACACAACAAAAAACAAGTCACTTCCACTATCATGCTTAAAATTTAGAATTTAATTGCTAAAGAGGAAAACTCCTGTGGGAAAAAAAAAAAAAAAAAAAAGAGAAAAATACGCCAGATGTTCAAACAAAACCTGCTGATGCCTCATCCTCCTTTGAGGAAATTGCCCAAGAACAGTTAATCCATATGAAAATATAGCACCATAATACCATAGGGCTATTAGATCTGCTGAAGAAATGTTATGTATGAAGCATATCTGTACTAGCACAGTTAAATATCTCAGAGTAAAGAGAATTATAGTGATGCAATTAAGTCTATAGTTAGATTCCCATGTCAAAAACATTTGAAACATATCTCTTTGCTTAGTGGATGCTTATATACTATGCTTTAATGACACAGATATATTACATGTTTTAGAAGTTTGGATCCTGTTTATGAATTAATTAGATATATCAGATCAAAAACATAACGAGCATCTTTGCAGTATTTTGCCCTTGTATTCTCTCATTCATTAAAACTTGAAAGTATACCCTTAAATATGCTGGCTTGTGAACATGATTAAGACTTAACAGAGGCATTCATGAAACAGAAGGTTACCAAATGTTTCTGCACAGACTATGAATGCCATATCCTTTAAAAATTTAAACACAACAGCAACAGCAAATGTCCATTTGAAAAACTGACCAAATCTGCAGCAGCTTGTGCCTGTAACCACAGCTCAACTTCAGCACAGCAGAAAATGCATGAAATCCCTCTTATTCCCTATACATGGCTTTTCTAGAAGTGTAACTCCCTAAAAACTCTCTATACAGCATCTATAGATTATTGCTTCTCTACATTCCTTACACCAGTACATTTTCACTTCCTTAAAAGGGAACATTTCCTACTAAAAGTTAAAAAATCAGCCAGGGAGAAATTCTTCAGTATGTCCTCAGCAGTCTTGGCATGAGAACATAGGTGAGAGAGTGGAAGCAAGGGATGTTGTTACCACTGTTCACCACTGCTTTAGACTCATTTTACCACAACTAGAAACACAGTGCCAGAACCAGAACAAACAAAACATTTCACCAAAGGTAATAATAATATGTAACTGCCTGCAATTTGTTTGCAATTGCAGAATGTTTTACATTCTAACATTCTGCAGCTGAAATGCACGAATCAAATGGATACACCATATATGAAATAACCATGCAACAGGCTGTATACTAATCAGAGCTTTTAAAAATTATCCAGATACATACTTTCTTCTAAATTTAGGACAGTGCTTTTTCCTACAGCCTTTAAATTGAGCAGTATTGCTATGGACTGAACAGTTTGAAAGTTGTCAGGTTTACAAAAGGCAAATGAAATCACAGTTAAATTGCACATTATTTATAGAAAGACAAACAGCTGTAATGATATGTTATAAAATGTTTTATACACACACATACAAGATTTTGACGTATGTTCTCAACAAGCAAATGGCTCTATAAAAATAACTGTGCTTTAGAAGGTTTATCAGTTTGCTTTTAGAAATTATGCCTGCCGTAATGTTTTCACTTAAATGCTACTTCAGTTTCATCATGTACATTACAAGTTATCGCTTAGAGCTTTCCATCTGAATAACCCCTCCTACCGATTAGTACTCATTATGAAGGCATGGAAATGCATTTGATTTGCAGAACGTATCTGGTAAGCAGATACACAGATTAGAGCTCCTTACTTGGAATGGCCCCTTGTTCCAAGCCGCCTGGTGGTAAGAAGAGGGAATTTCTGGCGAATGGTCTAAAGAGAGAATAACTGTATTAATTTCTAACAGTGGCGTACTTTCTCAGGCATTTTTTTCATGGAAGAAACTGGAGGATAAGTACGGATCAATACACAGCCTAATGTAGTCTGTAAATAAGTGTTTGTGGCAAACATGACACAACGTAAGCAATTAAGCGTGTTGTACACTGCAGAGGTCCTTCCAACCTCATCCATCTCATTGTGCACCTCCAGTCTTCTCAAGTTCTTTGTCTGCTCTTCCTTTCCATTTTCACTTCTACAATGCAAAATCTTCTCCCATGATCCTGCCCCATTCAGATCCCTAAGGTACAACTCTATCTTTAGCTTCAGAGATCTAAACAGAACCAAGGGAAAGATTTGGCTGCCAGCCGTTCCATTTTCAAAGTCAAACAGCTAGAAATAAGCCGATTTTTTAATTAAAAAAAATAATAAATCAAACTTTGATTTAAAACTGATCTCAAGGCTAAGGAAAAAATATTTCCTATTTCTATGCCCTCTACTATCAAAAGGCTGCACAGTCTAAAATGCATTTATGCTCACTGAAACAGTGTGGAAGTTTCTGTTAGGCACATAACGTGTTTCAAATAAAATCAAGAAAAACATTCTGTCACTGGACTCCTGAAATTGAGATTACTGCCCTAAAAACATTTTACTCTTCCCATAAAGAATAATGCTTAAGGGAAAAGACTTACTGAGAATAAAACTCAATAATAGAAGTAGAACTAGTAGACATAGCTAATAGATCCCTGTCAAAACAAAGTTTAAATGGAAAGCTGATGTCTTCCTCATTTATGTTGGAACTGTGTAATGAAAATTAGATATACACTGAGAAAGTGTATCTTATTCAGGATGAAAAAATTAGTAAGTGAACATTTTATGAACTGGATTTAAAATCCATTATTATTATTTAATTAAATTAATGCATTTTGCTATCTACAAACAATGAAAAGATCAGCATTTTTGGTTTCCTCTTTCACTAACTACTCAGAGTTTAATTAGGAAAGTTCACATCTCCCTTTCATTAAAATGATTTCAGGATTAATTGTAGCGAAAGGCAGAAAAGGGGATAAATCAACTTTTTTTTCCCCCCATTCAGGAGCTCTTTTCATTATTAACTTTTATTCCCCTTCTTGTATTCTTGTATCGCTTGTTGTGTCACTTCTCAGTTTACACTTTAGTATAATTAAAAGCATCTTCTATGTCTTTTTTTTTTTTTTTTTTTAAATGGAAAGAACCACATTAATGTCACCATCAAAAAACAAACAAACAAACAAAAAAACCACTTGGAGAGAAAATAAAACAAAGAAGAAGAAGCTGAAGTTCTTTTTGATTTTCCTAAAGTGGTTGTCATAAAATCCTCTCATATGTAATCACATAATTAGTTTCATTATGTATATTAATAGCAAAAAAAAACATGAATTTATTAAACATTTTAACACAGGTGCACCAAACTCAAAGTCTGACAAAGAACTGGCCTAATGAATGATAAAGACATTTGTTCTTTACCTTCCCAAAAGTTGCAGCACAGGCGGGTTCTAGCTTCTCTTTTCTGCAGAAGTCTAAATAATGTGCATAAAGGATGCATCTTGGTAAGCAAACTCCCTCACAGACAATGTAGTTTTCTTCCAGCCTGTACAGAAAAAGCAAGAAGAAACTTCTTACTGAAGAGTAAGAGGCAACACGGCATGTTTCCCCATTTTATTCCCCTTTCCTTTTTCTGACACTGCCCTCTTTTTAATTTTTATTTTTTTTTCCATTTCACTAAGATTTCTATAATGGCACATATATGAGTTTCTACTGAATATGACACACACCAGAAATTGACCACACTTGATGCTTAAGGTAGCAGCACAATACGGAACACCTGGAGACAGGTCCCTTTTCCTAACGAGTCTTCTTCAATGCAATTTGATTTAAATGATTTTTGTTTAAATGACTACCACGTAAGAACCAACTTTGCTCTGAGAAGATGAGCACCAATTACGCAGTGAAAGACCTGGGTTTAAGCCTGACCTTTGAACAGAGCAGGGACTTCATCTTGCATTTTCTGTCCCAATATACGTTTAACACCAAATGTTGTCTCTCTTTTTTTTTTTCCTACTTTAGATTTTTATTTTCCACATGGGACCTGAAGGTGTTTCTTGTCCAAACCATAGCAAAAATCAAAGATCTGACATTTTCTGAAGAGTATACATTTTTGTGCATCTGTTTGTAAAATACAAGTGCCCGACAATGGTTGACAAAGTCAAATTTAAAAACAAGTAAAAGCCAGTTGTCTCCTCTTTAGCTGAACTGTTGGTAACAACAAGGTGGCCAAATCCTGATTGTTTCTTTTCTTTGTCATCATCAATCATTTGCTACTCCTGGAATTATATGCAATAAATTTGTTTTCTAAACTACACCAGTGTATAAGAAAAAACCTCACAGTAAATACTGCACATGGAATAATTTTGCACATCCTCCCCAGACTCAAATCCTTACAGTTCTCTGTCTGCTCTAAGCCAGATGTAAACTAAAGTAAGAAACTGGGATACCCACATTATTCTGGTTTTTCAGTCATAAAGAAAGCTCTAGATTTACAGCCTGCATTTGGTATCTAAGCTCCCATTTAATTCAACAGTATTGCCCACTAACTTCCAGAATACTTTAGGAAAGACCTAAAGCCTTAGCTTTTAAAGGTTTAAATTCTGTAGGTTAAAGCTTACAGAGTTTGAACTCTTCTTTGGTTCATTTTTACTAAACTGAAACAGAGTTAGGGCATCTGTGGGTGGTAGAATGTAATGCAAAAAGTACAGTGAGAGACAGTGAAAATGTAACTGTCGCTGTATAGAATAATAACAGCAAGTATAATTCTTAGGTAATTTGTCATTTCTACATTTTTTAAAGATATTTAGGTTTAGTGCTTCTGAAAAGAAGACAGAATGTTATGCATTTTATTTTCCTGAAACAAAATAACAGAACTGACTATATGCATATTAGTAGTGTATCCCTACTCAGTCAGGACGACCAGCTAAATAAGCACAATTTCATTCCGTATTAGAAGCCTAGATCACACATCCAGGTACAATAAGCTGATCCACAGTGCTTTCTGCCCCGAATAAATCTGATCTTCCATCACCTCTCACAGCCATATGCCGGGGGAACCCGACAGAGGTTTCTGCTAACAGATAAACCTCCGCTAATTCAAAACATCGGGAATTTGGGGGAGATGAGGGTTATAAGAAGTTGAAATAAGCCCAAGGAACCCAATGAACGCGGCCAGGGCCAACGAGCGGCGCGGTGCCGCTCCCGTTGCCGGCACAGCCCCGAGGTGGAGGAGCGGCCCTTTGGGAGCCCCCCCCGTCCAGCCGGCCCTACCACTGCAGGGTGAGCTGCGTCTGCTTCTTCTTGTCCTTCATCATCTGCGTGATGCTCTTCTTCGGGGACGGGCTCTTGTCCGCGGCTCTCAGTTTGCCGTCGTGAGTATCCGCATCCTCTTCTTCCGAGGAGAAAGTCTCACCGTTAAAAGGCACTTCTGCGCGAGAGGGAGCGGAGAGAGAAGCAGCCCGGGGATGGCGTTAGGTCGGCAGCACACCGTCCCCCCGAGCCTCCCGTTAAACCGGCGCTGCCCAACGGGCCGGGCCCGCCCCCGCGGCTCTCCCCGCGGTCCTCACCCGACTTGATGGCAACGGGCAACTCCGGCAGCCCCCTCCCGGTTCCCAGCCCCTCCTCGGCGTAGGGCAGCAGGCCGCCCGCCAGCAGCTCCGCATAACACTCCTCCGGCGCGGCGGCGGCGGCGGCAGACATCGCCTGCGTGGCCGGGAGGTGCAGGAAGGCGTCCTCTTGCTCGGGCCCCTTGGCCATGCTGCTCAGCGGCACCTGCCTCGCTTCGCCGCCGCTCCCATGGACGGCCGAACGGGACGAGACGGGACGGACGCGGGGCGGTGCGGGCCGCTTGTGCGGGGCTGCGGTGGCGGGGACGGCCGAGAGAGAGGAGAGGCGAAGCCGGAGACAGGTGTGCACCGGGAGGCGGCGGGCCCGGTGCGCCCCTCCCTCCTGACGGCAGCTCCCGGGGAGGGTCGGGGCTGGAGGCACGGGGGAGCGGGTCTGCATGGGCTTAATGATTAACTGCCGGCTGCGTGCGGGAGGAGAGCCTCAGCGTTCTCCTCTCCTTACTTCAGACGTGATGCTACACACAGCTTTGTTCGTATCACCGTGCCCATATATGAGTTCTGTTCTCAGCGTAACTCACAGAGACAGCTCAGCTTCTGTTCTGAGGCTACAGTAAAATCTCATCCTGTTCTCTGATGTCACTGAACTAAGAACTTCAGAGCCTGACCCATGAAGATCTGTATTTCTACTATATGATAAAACCTCCCAGCTACCAAAGTACAATGAATCTCTCATAAGCAAAATCCTGTATGCCACTATCTTCCTGGTAACATGGAAACATGCCCCTGTACTTGGCATTGGCGAGGCCTCACCTCAAGTACTGTGTTCAGTTTTGGGCACCTCAGTACAGAAAAGGCATTGAGGTGCTGGAGCAGGTCCAAGGAAGGGCGAAAGGTTTGTGAAGGGCTTGGAGAATATGTCCTATGAGGAGAGACTGAAGGAACTAGGGGTGTTCAGTCTGGGGAAAAGGAGGCTGAGGGAAGATCTTATTGCTCTCTTCCAATATCTGAAAAGCGCTTACAGCCAGAGCTGAGTTGGTCTCTTCTCACTTATGACAGATGACAGATGAGGGGAAATGACCTCAAGTTGTGCCTGGGTAAGTTCAGGTTGGATATTAGGATACACTTCCTTACAGAAAGAGTTGTTAAGCACTGGAATAGGATCTCCAGAGAGGTGGTTGAGTCACCATCTCTGGATGTGTTTAAAATCCTTTTGGTTGTGGTGCTCAGGGACACGAGTTAGCATGGGTTTGTTAGGGTAGTATGGTTAGGTAGTGGTTGAACTCGATGATCTTTAAGGTCTTTTATAACTTGAGTGATTCTATGATTCTATGGAGCTAAATGTGGTATCCATTGTGTAAGAGCAGGATTCTCCTTCACTATTACTTCAGAATATCTTCCATGACACAAATTCTAGCCATCATTAAGACGTGGATCGCTAGTTTCCACCCCAGGGCAACATACATTTGTAGTCCCCTCCTGTTGCATCTGAGGGTCAAGAGCTGCTTTATCATAGAATCACAGAACAACGTGGGTTGGAAGGGACTTTAGAGCCCACACTGTTCCAATCCCCTGTCATGAGCAGGGCTCCCACCCGCTAGATCAGGCTGCCCAGAACCCCATCCAACCTGGCCTTGAACACCTCCAGGGATGAGGCACCCATAGCTTCTCCCTTTGCACTGCCTGTGGACTGTCCTAACCCTGGGACAACTTAGGGTGGCATCCCTGTGACTCTCATTCAGACATCCTTTCAATTATTGAAAGGCTGTGATGAGATCTCCCTGGAGACTTCTATTCTCCATGTTGAGCAAGCCCAGCTTCCTCAAGCTATTTTCACAGGAGAGGTGCTCCAGCCCTCTGATCTTCTTCATGGCTCTCTTCTAGACCCACCCCAACAGCTCTGTATCTTTCCTGCACTGGGTGCCCCACACCTGTACATCCTACTCCAGATACGCCTTCACGGAAGCAGAGTAGAGAGGGACAATCACCTCCCTCACCCTACAGGCCACCCATTTACCTGAAACTGATATTGATTTAAGAACTATTTTGTTACATGTAAGTTCTCCTTGGACTTAATAACTTTCTCTGGCTCATACAAACACTCCTCTCTCTACTTGCTCCTCCAAAGCCACTGAATGACTACTGTACAGCATCACCAGCTTTGTATGAAACTGAGCATATGTTTGCAGCAGTAAAGAAAGAAAAATGGATTGTCCAGTGCTCCTAAGCAAACACATGTTTAAAGATTGATGAGAAAGATGCATCATCCACTGCCAATATGTGAACAAACATATCTATTTTATAGTAAACAGAAAAGAGGAAGTTTTTTTGTAAGTAACGATAAATTACATGTAAATTATTCTTATCTGACAAGGAATATATAGGGTTCCTTAATAAAATTGAATTGTTTTAAAAATATTCTATATGAAAACATTGATAATGAAAATAACTTATAGGAGAGGAAGATTTGTCCAAGCAGGGACAGCTAAGTTCTAATGTTCAAGCTGTTTGCTCTTGCAGCCATAAAACAACCAAATCCCTCTGCTTTGTGGAAAATATTTTACTCCATGTTGCCTACTGTATGAGACGTTGACAGTTGGTGCTGTGTCTGTTTGCAAAGTCACAAGGGTTGCACGGATCAGCAGTAATGGAAGATTTCTTATCACCATGGAAGATTTATTTCCCTTAAAGGTTACCTTCTCAGCAGACATCATGTTGTGATTTGTAGTCAGGGAGTTCTCAGAGTAGTTTTAAATTTGGTGTCTCTGATGCCTGTGTGGTACATTCTTGGTATTTTAGTGACACCATGGAACTCCTGACATGGCTTGACCAGTCAAAAAGCCCAGGGAGTTGTCACCTTTTATTTTATTTTATTTTATTTTATTTTATTTTATTTTATTTTATTTTATTTTATTTTATTTATTTCAGCTCTCTGCTTTCTTTCAGATCATTCCTGCTTCCATTCAGTTCCTATCACTCTCTTTGCTCCTTCAATTTTCAGTTCCAACAGTGTGTTAAGCTGGAGGCCCCTTGCTTAAAATCTGCCTTTAGTGGCTATTTTGCTATCAATTATGTTTATTTGCCTAACTGCCCCAGTTTTGCCTCACTAAATCATTCTGAAGCACTTATTGCACCATAAGCAAAATATTGGAAGTCCATCTTCTATTTCATGGATCTTCAATGTGAGAAGATGTCACAGCTGCTTCTTGAAGGCATTAATTTAAGGGAACTGAAAAGGTCTCTGGCAATACAACTAGCACAGTGTATACGAACTACTGTTCTTTCTTGAACGAGTTAATTCCTAGTTTTCTGCTGTTTGATGTAATCTCAGAAACATTCATCCTGATGGAAAGGTCATATTACATATAAACAAAACATACTGCTTTCATTATCACTAGCATTCTTATCCTGGTGCTCTATGCCAAGGTTGGAAATGTGCTCTAAGGCCTTTTAGCAAACATCTCTCAGCTGCAAAACCAACATATTCACAATGGTTTGCATGATAGAAACAAACTGTCAGAAAGTAGCTCCTGCTTTAAACCGTTGTCTGTCCATAGCGTCAGTGTGGGTTAAAGAACAGACTAACCTGGACTAACCCTCCTGATGCAGGAACTGCATTTTTGTGGGTTTTTTTTTTTTTTTCTTTTTTTTTTTTCAGAGCAATGTGCACAAGTCTGAGCACAGCCACATCTAACAAATAATGCAGCAGATAGGGATAATATTCCCATATCTCTGTTGACTACAAGTAGATCACAGAATCGTAGAATCATAGAATGGCCTGGGTTGAAAAGGACCACAATGATCATCTAGTTTCAGCCTCCTGCTATGTTCTATTAATGTCTCAGAAAACAAAGAAGCAGTAATTTTAGAGCATGATATTTCACATTTTGCCTAAAAAATTATAGATACGTAAGCTAGTAATACCATAAGAAAGAAAACCCTTTCCCAAAGGCTGTCAAATATTCGTGTATTTTAAAACTCCTTTGCTGCCCCAGCTTCAAAGGGGTGGGTATAAAGTTTTGCAGGAAAATGGGAGCACAGCTCACATCCCATAACAGTCAGGAGGTTGGTTTATGCTGTAGAGGTAAGGATGGAGAGCACTGCTTCAACATTTCCTGACTGTAGAATCAAAAAGCACTGTGCATTGCTATGCTGGAGATGAGCCCAGGGAGGCTCCAGGTGGTTTGTGTTGGGCTGCAAGATAGTTTTCTTTTTGTCATGATTAGCTCCATATCTGAGCTCTTGATGACTTTATTCTTTGCTTGATGGACAGTAACACCTATTTCTTTCCAGGAATGCTTACAGCACAGTTAAAGCACAGTACAGTGCCTACTAGCATTGACCAGTATTCTACAAGGAAATAAAGTAATTTCTCATTGAAATCAATCTTTATTCTCCTTGCTTTCCCATAGTATGAATCTAATTCTTTCCTGAACTCCATTTCTGATTTCCTGTTATTCATTACATGTAACAGTTTTAATGTCACACATACAAACAGGACCTATTCCCCCTCTTTTATTATTTACTTTATTTTTTGTCCTTGACACAGTTTGGTGTTTACTACTTTTGAGAGTGCTTTGTTTTTGACAAAAACAATCTGCACAAACCTAAAAGCCCCTCTAATATTCAGTCCTGTCACTACCAATGCCTTCTGATGAAATGAATCCAGGAGGAAGTCCATTAATCACACCAATTATTTAGAGAAGCATCTATGTATTAAAAGGCTAAAGCATTGAAGCATCTTCCATAATCTTAACTTCACTGTTTTCAATAATGATCCAAACACTCCCTCTGATAAAAATAGTGATGGGTTTACATTGTCACTCATGCAAATTTCTTTGCCCTTGCACAATTATTACTGCTTTTTTTCCCCAAGCACTTTCCCAAGGGAAGAAGAACGTATGAACATTCTGATGGTCTGCCTGACTGGTTGTATAAATGCAACAAAATATAACCTTAGAATCACAGAATCATAGAATCATTAAGGTGGGAAAAATCTGCTTAAGACCATCTAGTCCACCCATCATCCCATCCCCACCACACCCACTAAACACTTCCCTCAATGTCATCTACATGTTTCTTGAACACCTTCAGTGTCAGTGACACTATCACCTCCCTGGGCAACCTGTTCCAGTGCATCATCATTCTTTCTGAGAAATATTTTTTTGTAATATCCAACCTGAACATCACCTGATTCTAAAAATAATAATAATAATAATAAATAATAAAAATAAAAAAAAAAAACCAGCAGTGAGAAAGGAGGAGAAAGCAGAGGAAAAGGAGGAAAAGAGCCATCACAGCTGTAGCACTTCACTATAATATCAGTCTTCTGATGCAGAGGTGTGTTCACATCTTCCCTTGATGCCACACAGCACCATGGGTTCTCTGGAGCTTAAAGAAAAAAG